ACTTGTGGTAAATTCTGGATAAGATTGCATTCAGTAAGAGCATTTTGGCAGTGTTTATGGTTCTGCTTCTCCATCCCTCACTGCATTTCGCTTGTGCAATTAGGCACCTTACCTACGGTTGTCTCTCTCCACCCAGGAGTGCAAGTGGGTGCCTGCTAGGCTCAAACACAATGTGCCAATTACAGCTGCAACATCGAATTCTCCCCAGTGACCTTTGTCCATATGTGCCTTATCCAATGACCGGAGATAATAATGGTTTATTGTGCTTAGAGGTCTCTACAATATGCACTCTACAATATATTAAGCCGACTATTATTATTATATTAATATTAGTATTATTATTATTATTTATTATTATATTATCATTATTCATCATCCTATAATGTGCATAACGGATGTGAATATCAGATAGCCTGTGTGAATGTGTCAATAGATGTTAAATCAACAACTTGTTGAGGTAGGCTATTCCACAGACGGCTGGTGTCTGGGAAGAACGAGCGCTTCCTTAATGTTGTATGTTGTTGTTCTTATTGTTATTATCATTATTTATAGGCTCTTTCGAAGAACTCATGTACTGTGTAAATATGATTTTGAGAAGATTCAGTATTAAGAATACTATAGTGCATTATTGCCAATCCATTTAAATTGAGAAGACATACTGACCAACTGTTATGAACCATTTAAGTATAGCATACATTATTATAAGTTATTATACTGTACATATTACTGTATATATTACTGTATAAACATACTGCTCCTCAATTGAGTCATAGTCCATTGCGGTTGCTATAATTTAACAGGAGAAGAATGGTAGTATGTTGTAACTCAACTAAAGTAGAACTGTCAACACTGAAGTTCAGTATGTCTAAGCCTTGATCACTCAAGCATACAATTGTATGATTTATTCTTTTATTGCATGTGACAAAATGTAAAAGAATTTAGACAGTGACAATAAAATGTTATTTTTTCCCGTGCAAAATGGCTACCGTATTACATTGCAATGCTTCCACAGAACACTATAATGGCATTCAGGCTGCAAGGTAATTTTGTTTACATTTTGTTAGAACTTTTACAATGCCTTCATCATGCAGGTACACTCAGTAAATTTTTAATTTTAATAAAACATAAATGGAGCAAAGAAAAGCCAAACTAATCACTCCATGGTTTTTGTTATTAATACAGGGTTAAACAGTAAAACAAATGTTATAAATTGGTGAAAGAATCATTTAAATCCAATGTTTCATTGAGAAGTTACAGCGGTTTCTTAAGCAGCAGCATAAAATGATCTTGTCAATTTTTGGAGTGACATTCATATTATTTGTACTTAAACTCAGTGCACATCCTAATTAATGTTTTAGAAATTAAATAACAGTATAATGTGAAATCAACCTTCAAAGTTTACAATTTTGAGGGATTCTCGGACGAAGACCATCACTAAATCGTTGTTTTATTTTAACGTCGAAAATGGGAAAAATAAAAAAATAACAACATAGCATGAAGTATTGATATGTGTCAATTTAGTGCAATAAAATAGATTTTTAAAATGTTGACATTTCAACATGTTTTGGCCATTATCTTCAAAACATGATTTGCGAAGAGTGACTGGTTTGGCGAGTCTTCGCCACGAGATTTGTAATGAAGTAATGGATTAATAAAATGGATCGCTGACAACAATATGATCTTGCGTGTCTGGTTTATTGGCATGTTAGACAACATTGTACTTCCTTCTCTTTGTTGTCTGCCATCAGTATTTTAGAAAAAATATATATATAACTAGATTTAATTAGTAATGATACATACATTTGTTTTTTATTACTTATAATTTAATTCCATTAATGTTAATACATTAGTGTTTGTAATGTTACTGGACTGTATGTATAAATCAGTATGTTCCTTGAATAATGATAGACTGTTTACTGTATTTATTTAATTATTTATATTTTTAATTGAACTTTAGTTAATTAGGATTAGCCTTTGCAGCTCACCATTAATGGAGAGCTGATATTAAGGGGTCCTCATCAAAAACAAAATACACAGATAAATTAGAAGAAATATGTAATAATAATAAAACAAATAGCAATATTTGGGCCTGGTTCTCACGAGAGCCCTAGTATCTGGATCGGGGACTAACCGTTAGCGCTAACCATTAGCACCTGCGTGAGAACGACCGATCGGATACGCTAACGGTTAGCAAGTGCTATCGGTTAGCAAGTTGAGGGCGTTTCTATCATCAACCAATCACATGTACGCATTTACAATTTCCAGTTTCTTATTGGCCAGTGATTCGATCATCATATTGTTGGTGTCCGGATCGGGATTTTCTCGCATGGACGCACGGCAGCTAACAGTTAGCAGGATCCGGATCCTGCTAACCATTAGCTGCCGTGTGAGAACATAGCCTCAAATAGCAAAAACGACAGCATTAACAAATATAGCAATAACAATTGAACAATATACATAATAAAATAGTAAGTAATTACTATGTATCAGTTACTATACAGTAATAGTATATAATAGTTATGAATAGTATGTGGATCAGTTTGCTGGTTTCTGTGGTTTTATTAATACTTATAAGGATGTTTTGTCATTATAGTTTCTTTTTTGATTCCTTTTTTGCGAGTCAGTACTTTCATTTTTGCAATAACAATTTAAATCAAAGTAACACTAACAGTTAACAAATTAGTTATGACAGCAATCTAATAACAATTAAATAGAGAATTAATCAAGCGGATCCAGAGAGGGTGATAGTCGCTGACGTCCAGACCCACCTTCCCCCATTCCTAACATGTTAGAGGACTGACTTTTTTTTAGTGGACAAGAACATTATACAGATGTTGGTAAATATCCAGCAGCTTTTTGTTGTTTTTTTTTGGGTGGGAGGATCATTTATGAAAATAATTTTCAGGTTAATCTCATTATTTTTTTATTTTAAATCTCTCAAAAGATTGGAGGGTTACAAGACAGAAGAGAGTTCCACAGTTTTTTTTAAATTATGTCATTTGTACAGGAATGCCCATTTTCTTTCTGCATTTCCACCTGAAAATATATATATTGCTCCAATACCTCAAAGCAGCAGCCTTTCACAAGTGAAGCTAAAATTGGTAATAATTTCTTGCACTAGCTTCAATAGGCTTGGTGTAAGCCACTCAGGTCTGTTGCATTTGTGCCACATTTGTATGACCAATCTCATTCTGCTGGTATTTAATTTTAAAAGAAAACTTCATTACATTAACCAATGTCTATAAGTAACATCCTACTGTACAGTAGCATTGGCATTCTTTATGTCTTCAATTCAATTCACATTCTTTTATTCTTTAAAATTTACAAAAAAATGATTAACATTTTATTTTTCTATCGTATATGTACTAATATTTTTACCATTGCATTTGCATTTTAAACAGCATTCAGTAAATAGCATTGGCCCTAATCAAAAACATTTGGAGGCTAACAGCTGGTTAAAACATTAATACTGAATTAACCTTTTGGATTGTTAAAGTCCATAAAGTTACTTAATATCATCAACCCACAATAAAACATAACACTGGAGTTTCTCAGATGTATTTCATTGAAATCTTATAATGTTAAGATCATACAGATGCTATTTATTTTTAGGGTGTTTCTTATAGTAGGTCCCTACAAAAAGGTGTGCCACATTATATTGACCTGTTCCATTCTGTGACAAAAGTCGCCTCAGTGATAGCCACAGGGAAATTGAGTATGAAGGAAATGTGGAGTGGAAGAAGATAGATTAAAATTTATACTACAGTATTACTTTTCTCTGGGCATTATTATATCAGAAGTGTGGTGCAGAGGGATATATTTTGACAGATCAATTCAAATGACGCCATAATCAATTAAATATGGAGTTCCTTCGTGGTGTGTCTACAAACTCACAATCCCACAAATCGAGGATTTTGAGAAAATCGAGCGTAGGGTCACTAGATTGTGTTTTTTCCCAGGGCTAATTTTATTTTTGATATTTCATGTGTTCCATATGAACCCCAACTTCCATGTCTGAATCTGATGAGCCTTGTTAATAGATTTAAGTTTTTAGGGATTACATTCATTGCAAAGACTTTATATAAGAAAATCAACACATTTATTGAATGTTATATCTCTCAGAATTTGCGCCACACTGGTCACCTTATTTTGATATACTATTTTCAGAACTAACGCTGCCCATTTTCATTAATATTATTTAATGCTTTCCCATGGATGTTCAGTAAACTACCTTGTAATATTAAAGATTCGCTTGTTCTCTCCTGTTTATATATCATTTGTTTACATAAACATAACTTGCTGAATGTTGACATGTAAAGTCTGTTAGTGTCTCTCGATTGTGTGTGAATTTTAACTCTTACTTTCTGTTCTTAAATTTTGCATTTTGTTATCTAAATGTTGGCTTTTAAGTGGTTGGAGAATCACTAGTTTGTTGATTTAATTCAACTTTTATGTACACATAAAAAATGCTTTTTAAAGCTTGTTTTAGTATCACATTTCATTCTTTTTCCATTTTTAAATATAAGTGTTCGTTAGTAATTTAGTTTTATTGTTTAATTAAGCCATGGCGGTAACTACGTAAAGCTAAAAGCTAGGCTTAAGGAAGTCCCCCAGTGGCGGTTGCCAGGTTCTCTGAGATTATCATTTGAAATTTTGCGAAAATGGTGTATACAATTTCATAGTTTTTCTGTTAATTGTTTTATGTTATGTTTACATGAAAACATGAAAATAGAATAAAATAAATCAAAGATTTATCTAAAATATATTGCATGTGAATATGCACAATAGTGCATCTAATAGTGTACCGGTGGATTATATTTATAGTTAATTATAAAAAAATAATATAGTTATGACTCACTACCAAGGTTCCTTATGACAGAAGGTCTATTTATGATTATTAAATTCCAACTCAACTCTCTATGGATCATTTCCTGGGATCCATCATAGGCATTTCCTTTTGGTTAGAACCAGGATGAATCCAAAAACAAAACTCTATTGTTCATATATTATATTTTGTGTTCACTGTCTTCTATTTTTTTCCATTTGTCTTCAGAGCAACAAGAGATAAGGAGCAACTTTAATAGCACTTTGAGTAAAACGTACTGGTACTAAGGTAGGTGCAGTCAATTTTTGTTTATATGCTAGATTTTATGTTTTTAAAACTATTAAATATTTTATTCCTTGTTTCTTAAATTTGACTGTGAGTCATGCGCTGTGCAGATGCTAATAGGAACTTCACTGCAAACTTCTTAGCCGTGAGAAGTATTTAATTTGGTCTGTTACAGTTTAAATTATGGGGTACAATATACAGAGATCCCCAGTTGGTGTAGTCATTCTGTAATGTGGGTGCTAGATTGACAGTTGTTTTTCTCTATTTGTTAGGAGTGGGAGTAAGAATATTTGGGTGTGAAGTCCGAAGACTTGTTTCCAGTGGGGTCCTTCTGGTGGTGAATTAGGCAGTGCACGGGGAGAAAATCCCTTAATTTTTTTTAAAAAGTACTGCATTCTTTAACATGCACATGGGCCATATTGAACACAGGACCAACAATTTAACCGTCTCATCCGAAAGACCGTGCGCTAGTATCGTAACTTGTATTTCAATGTGAAACACAAGGATGGATTCCTCCTAGTAATAAATTATCATAGGTCATTATCTGATCATTATTGAAGAACTTAATAAAGCTATACGTCCAAAGGTAAAATGTAAGAGGCAGAAATTATTGAGATAAGAAGTATTTTACAAAGTCTGATAAAAAAAATATCTCCGTTACGTCCTACTGGCTAAGTTAACCTTAGGACACATTAGGCCGCTATTGATGTTGCAGCTAAAAACTACCCCATGAAGAACGGTTATTTCTTTGGAAGATCATACTAATTCACACATGCAGTTGTGTATTGAATTTATTTGTCACTGAGCAATCGGTCACCACAACCAGCAGTTTGATATATGCCTAGCCTAAAATACTATAAAACAGGGTGACTAATAAATCATTTATTGTCGAGTTATTTTGGATCCTATAGAAAACAGAAGCCTTAAGAGTTTTTATTTCCTTAAAAAATTGCTTTTACCCCTGCAGGTTTCCGGCAATTTTTTCAGGAAGTAACGTTGGCTCCTTTAACCTGTATCTATTTTCTATAGGATGTTTTGAACTGACTATAGTTGCATACTATAATCAGGTTAACTGGGTTACAAATGGCCATAGTTAAGTTGATACTATAGTAGTACTGTATAATAGTTAACTGGATTAATATGCAGTAGACTTCCTATTATACTAGAGTAGGACTGGTATGAATCATTAACTTACACCCAGCAATTTCAGTGTTAACATTTAATAGAACATGCAAATGCAGTTGACATTGTACCTAAACCAGTAGTAGAAGCTATGAACAATTTAAAAATTGATCCTCCAATAGTATGTGGTGGGCCTGTAATTAATGATTGTTATCCTAACTACTAGAGTTAGAGGGATACGCCTTGTAATACAGGCTAGTAGGCCTACAGAATTCTTTCTCTATATTTAAACATTTCAGTCACGTAATAAAAAAAAATAGACTTCATCAATTACTACTCTAATTAATTGATTGCTTTGTTTACGTTTGTATTCAGGAATACGGAAGCTGTTAATATTTAAATTAGGCATACTGAATTTCTACTGTTAGCGCATGACTAAGGTCTATTTTTAGCTCCAAAAAACTTGACTTTTTGCTTGTACACTAAAAATAAAAACTGCGAACCTGCTATACTAGTGATCACCTCTGTTTTAGGGTGCTTATCTAATACCTTTTTATGGGGCCTGAAAATTTTAACAGAAATATTGACTATTATTATTTATGATTATAAAGTTGTTTTTTTTTTAAATTGTGTTTTCATGAAATAGGTACCAAGAAGACAGCATGGAAGATAAAAACACAAGTAAAGATATTCCTAGCATATCGGTGAGTTATCTTGTTTGTTCGTCTTGTTACTTTTGAACAGTAAATCTACAGGATTCCAGTTAATCAGAAAGATCAGTGCAAATCAGAAAATTTTTGGCAGCAAATATAAGAATTTTTGTAGTAAAAACATCTGTAAAACATTAAGAATTGATTGTTTTTATAATTTCCTAATATACTGTACTGCCATGAATTTTTCAAAAGGCTTTTTTCTCAAATATTCAAAGGTGGCACCAGTCGAGGGCAGAGCTTCCCCTTCCTCTGTCGGGGAGAAAAACCACAATTAATTAATTGGGGAGAAAAAAATAAATATATATAT